CTGCCCAGGGACTACGGGTGGAAATTAGCTCTTGAGCTAAAACCTGGTACAATGCATCTCTCCCTTTGAGGTTAATGTTTATTGTGCGCTGTCCCTGTTTTTTTCTAAATAAATAAATACAAATACAAATTATGTTCCATAGAATAAAGTCAAAAGGGTTAGAACATCACGAGGGTGAATAAATGATAACAGAGATTTCATTTTTGTGAACTATCCCTTTAATTGGCTGTTTTATTAAGTAGATGCCATAGGAGTGCTTTAGAGATATTAAATCAGAAATTGTAGTATTGTATCAAAATTAGTTGTAGTATGAAATACGATCTCTTACTATACGCTTAGCCTCATATTACTGTAAGCAGTATTGATTCTCTAGCAATATTCTGATTACAATGAATGTGTACACTTACATATCTCTTGAAATCTCTTGTCTCAGTTGTTTCTCCTACATTGCAGTGATATTAAATTGAGATTTTTGCTTAATGAAAGTCTCCTGCTTCTCAGATTTTTCTCAGAAAATGACTTTAGTAAACTCGCATGTCTTTTCTCCATTATTGAGAATAGACCTCTAACGTTTCTCATTCAATTCAAGTATGAAATTTAAATGTACAGCGCCATAGACTTACTGCTTGTTATCAACTGTCTTATTTGTGTCTCTTTTTACATTTTTCTAATGAATTTTATGAGACAGATCTGAGAGAAAGTAGATACTTGAAGAAAATATTAATGAGAATGAAAGAGAAATAATATGAGTGATAAAGCTATCAAGATAAAGTGATTCTATTATTGTAAAACCACACTAGGCCTACTCAGATTCCTGTTATTCATGTAGTATTTCAAATGTGTCCTTTTTTTCGTTATACACCCCAATTTCCATAAGGCAGCCAATCACAGTCTTGCACACATTATGTGTTCTTTGTGTATAAACAACAGCCTCAAACTCAATCTCCTAGCATTCAACTGAAAACATACCTTGCCACTGATAGACACAGAGGGTGGGGCAAATGAAGAATGTAAGGCTGACCTGAGAGAGAGCAGGCGTCTGGTGCAGAGACGCTGAGGAGGAGGAGGTGGTGGAGGACGACCCCTCCCATCTTGGCATGAGTGGGTGGATTTCTCTGTTTATCTTTAAGATCTGGCAGTGACAAAAAAGGCTGAAAACCGTCTTTTTCCCTCTTCTATTTTATAAGATGATCTCTTATGGCACTCTTATGAAATCGTTCCCCTGTGTAGATATCCAGAGTTTAATGTGTGAATTGCTAGATGGCTTGATATAGCCCAGTGGAGCATTTCTCCCATGGTGCTTTGCTGTTGCTTGTACATGTCTGACTTTGAGGACAGTCAGCTATAAAGATTATGGAACACTAAAAACTAAATATTCCACATTTGATGAAACAAAGCCTACTGTCTATTAAAACCTTGTTCAACTGTGGTTATTGGTTACGTTGTCTGTCTGTATGTCCGTCCGTCCGTCCGTCTGTCTGTCTGTCTATCTGATCTACTGTATCTATCACTCGCAGCATCTTACACAAGATGAGTCTCCAGTCTTAAGTGCAGTCTTTGAGATCATCATAGTAATAAATGGGCATGTTTAGATATTACTTAAATATACAGTAGATAATTGTAAATAGTATATTGTATTATATTACATGTGGAAGGTGATATGACAATGTGATTATTATTATAGATTACAAATGGCACTTTGTGTTAAAAAGGTTGCTGACTTCTGCTCTACAGTAACATTGCCGGTTTACTTACCGCATAGTAAACATTAGTGCATTGTTGGCATTAATATAGAGCTTAATCAAATGGCATACTTTATTACCGCTGGAGATGATTTAGTTACTGATATCATTACCAGCTCTAAATGGCCTGGTCCTAAAGGCTTAATTTGATCTCTGCTTTTACAACACACCATTAAAGATTAAAAGGCAGAAAGAGCATTGAGCACTGGCTGTTAGAAAATGTGTGTGGCTGGATCAGATTTCCCTAAGGTTGCGATACCCTTCCTCAAGAACACAGAAAGGCTCGCTTGTACATCTGCTGCATGTACACACTTTCTCACACTCTAATTAAAAACATTGTCTGACATCACCGGCGCACCGCCAATGCGCAAGCTGTTTGCACACAGAACGTTATTGTGCTTTTGCTACATAAGGGATAATATTATGTGTATTATGTGCTGGAAAACTCTCATGGACAGTGGAATGCACTACTGAATGTTTTTTTTACGTGATGTCAGAGGTCAAATGTGAAGTGACTTAGAGGTCATTTAGAGAGGCCACATTACTGTTTCTGTTGATGTTTGTGGATAATCATTTTAGAGTCAAGATACAATTTATTTACAGCTGCAGATTCCACCTGCCATGGTGCTAATACATCATCATATTCCAGAATTGTCTGATTTGATTGGTCAGGAATCGATTGTTCTTGCTCTTATGAATGGGCGAGGCTTCATTGCCACTCATCCAAACTTTGTGCTGCTCACTTGCTTTTGGACTTTATGTGCACAAGTGGGTTTTGGGTTACACTTTATTTTAAGGTGTCCTTGTTACAGTGTGATTATACATCTAAGTACTGAGTAATATCAATTAACTACATGTACTTACTATAGGGTTAATATTAGGTTACATTTAGGGCTAGTTGGATCCAATTATACATATAGTTATTACTATAGTAACTACATGTGGCATGTGTAACAAGGACACAGACATAATTGTGACAAGTTTTGCCACTGTCTTATTACAAAAGTTGCTTTGAAATTGAACTAGATTTAAGATGTTTATTTAAGATCAATATTTATTGTACATGTGCTCAGATTAAAATCTCCAAGCTCTCAAGTTTTGTAACACTTTTACCTCCATACAAAACTAAATGGCAAATGTTTGTGCTTGGAAGTGTATTCATATTTGTGTGCATTTCTATGTGCATGTGTCAGCGGGCACGTCTAGATGTACCAAACTCTCGTTCTGTCTCAGTGCTTTTGCAGTTTGGCGGCCCGGCGACCCATAAATCTGTCACTCATAGAGATGAGCATGTGATGCTTTGAGTTGAAGTGAAACGAGCTACTGTGAGTTCAGTACTTTAGGTTCATAAGATGACACTGTGATTCTGGAGCAACGTTCTGTGAACATGTACATCTGTGACTAAAACACACTCACAGCTCACAAACTCAGTCAAACTTTCCCTAGCATCGCCAAACAGAACCACGACTGTACTGTACATGATATCAATCTTTTCAAATGTCCTACCAAGAGCACCCTTTCCCTCTCTCCTTCTTGTGTTTCTTCCATCTTTCTCTTCCTTATAGGTTCTCTTGACATTTTCAAAGGTTGAAAGACAAAGTAGCTTTGTGTCCTGATAAGGGCGAGGACTCCTCAGCCTGAATGTAAATGTTCTCTCATGAGATCAGAACGGAGCTGTGTGTATTTGACAGACAGGGTGATGGGTCAAGTTTTGGAGGATCACGGAATGAAACTGAATAGCAGAAAAAGACAGATGTCATAGATGGAGGTTAGTCATCACCTGTAGGGTAATGCGGTGGTGGGGGTGGGGGGGTTGAATACCCCTTAAGGAAAGCCTTTTCTCTTTCTGTTTCCAAAGAAACAGATTTTTTCCATAATGATATTTTTTATTGATTATTGCATTGTTCCATTTATGTTCTTAGCAGAAGCTTTCATACTGAAACAATGGGGCTTTTATGGTGCTCAGCAACATATGGGGAATCCTTGATCCTTGACTATGATCCTTCAGAAATCATTCCAATATGCTGATTTTGTGCTCAAGAAACATTTCTTATTATTATCAATGTTGAAAACAACTGTGATGCTTAATATTTTTGTGGAAACCATGTTAAATTTTTTCATGATTAATAGAAAGTCAAATGAACAGCATTAATTTAGAAGGCATTTATAATAAAATAATTAATCAAAAAATTACTGACCACAAACCTTTGAAGAATGATGTGTGGACTCGGTGTAAGTAGGTTTGTTAAAAAAAAAAAAAATGTTTTGCAAATATTTAATACTTTTTAATTCGCTTCTCAATTAGTATTAACAGGTCCTAAGATTGATAATGTGGGGATCTGTTCTTCTTCTCACTTCTGCGGAACAAGGCACTGCTGCAACATGGTGGCTTTTTCTCCCCCACCTTCAGTTCATCACAGCTTTGAGCAGACTATGCTATAACATCAGCCTGGTGCAGATACTTCTACAAAATAGATACTGTTAATTAAACTATAATTTTAATACAATAAAAAAAAATTGGATCACTTCAGAATTTTTTTTTTAATTTTCATATTCTTTGCATATTAAAAGACATGAGCCAAGAGCATGTTAATTGCTTTTGTTGTACTGTAGAAGCTTTCTTCTAATTTTGGGTGAAAATCTGCTGACACAGGCTGTGATATAATGAACACCTTCTGGTGAGAGGAAGTTTACAACCCTACAAAATCCTTCATAATAAACACCAAAGAAAAAAGAAAGAAAGAAAAGAAAACACTCAAACACCTCTCCATTTGGTTTATTGGGAATTTTCTGTGCTTGTCTTCTTGCCTCTGTTGCCCTGTAATAATATGTTACTGACTCTCAGCATTAAGATGATGAATATTGTTCTTACTCTCGGATTATCATCCAATAAGAAAGTGACTGGTGAGCTAATATTAGTCTGCACCGAGCGTTGGTTTACCCATGAGCAGGTTGCCTAGGAAACATTACATAATTGGAGCATAGAAGATGCCCCCAGCTGATTGGGTGATGGAGACAAGGTGATAGATCTTCCTCAATGTGTTCTCTCCTCCATGTTCCATCTCTCCGCCTGGCGAGGAAATGACCTCATGACACCACATGGCTAGTGGTTTGATAGCTTTCTTATGGCACAAAACAGCTTTTCCTTTCATGTCTTCAACAATGTCACTTAAAAGGAAAAGAAAGTCTGTGCATTGCTGTAATGATGTATCAGTTTACACTTAAAAACTGTTCAATTTCTGATTTATTTTTTATTTTTATATATATATAGGTGCTGATCTGGGCGGACTGTTGGATCTTGAGACTCTGTATCAGGGCGTGGAACGCAGTATTAACCAGAGCCGACGAGCCCGCAGACAGTCCCCCGAACGAGTCTACAACATTGAGGTTTTGCTGGGGGTGGACGACTCCGTAGTGCAGTTTCATGAACAGCAACATGTGGAGAAGTACCTCCTCACTCTTATGAACATTGTAAGTGTGCTCGAGCCACCCACGATGCCTGTTGTGTTTGGGTTACCCTTGAGAAAAATCAAAGAACGATAGAAACTATTCTGTCAACATGCAGCAATTCTAGAGGCGTAAGACAGCATTATAATAAACAGCTGAGATGAAGCCGACTGGTGGTGAAGCATTAGAGACACGGTGTTGACACCTGAGGTACTACTGTTTAAAGCATTTATATTCAATCCTGCAGTGTTTTCAAAACATTTGAAGTTGGGCTTTCAAAGTCTTAGTGCTGTCAATCGATTAAAAAATAATACTTAATTAATTAATCACGATTAATCACACCTAACTAACAGGTAGTATACACTCACCTAAAGGATTATTAGGAACACCATACTAATACTGTGTTTGACTCCCTTTCGCCTTCAGAACTGCCTTAATTCTACGTGGCATTGATTCAACAAGGTGCTGAAAGCATTCTTTAGAAATGTTGGCCCATATTGATAGGATAGCATCTTGCAGTTGATGGATATTTGTGGGATGCACATCCAGGGCACGAAGCTCCCGTTCCACCACATCCCAAAGAGATCTGGTGACTGTGGGGGCCATTTTAGTACAGTGAACTAATTGTCATGTTCAAGAAACCAATTTGAAATGATTTGAGCTTTGTGACATGGTGCATTATCCTGCTGGAAGTAGCCATCAGAGGATGGGTACATGGTGGCCATAAAGGGATGGACATGGTCAGAAACAATGCTCAGGTAGGCCGTGGCATTTAAACGATGCCCAATTGGCACTAAGGGGCCTAAAGTGTGCCAAGAAAACATCCCCCACACCATTACACCACCACCACCAGCCTGCACAGTGGTAACAAGGCATGATGGATCCATGTTCTCATTCTGTTTATGCCAAATTCTGACTCTACCATCTGAATGTCTCAAAAGAAATCGAGACTCATTAGATCAGGCAACATTTTTCCAGTCTTCAACTGTCCAATTTTGGTGAGCTCTTGCAAATTGTAGCCTCTTTTTTTCTATTTGTAGTGGAGATGAGTGGTACCCGGTGGGGTCTTCTGCTGTTGTAGCCCATCTGCCTCAAGGTTGTGCGTGTTGTGGCTTCACAAATGCTTTGCTGCATACCTCGGTTGTAACGAGTGGTTATTTCAGTCAAAGTTGCTCTTCTATCAGCTTGAATCAGTCGGCCCATTCTCCTCTGACCTCTAGCATCAACAAGGCATTTTCGCCCACAGGACTGCCGCATACTGGATGTTTTTCCCTTTTCACACCATTCTTTGTAAACCCTAGAAATGGTTGTGCGTGAAAATCCCAGCAACTGAGCAGATTGTGAAATACTCAGACCGGCCCGTCTGGCACCAACAACCATGCCACGCTCAAAATTGCTTAAATCACCTTTCTTTCCCATTCTGAAATTCAGTTTGGAGTTCAGGAGATTGTCTTGACCAGGACCACACCCATAAATGTATTGAAGCAACTGCCATGTGATTGGTTGAATAGATAATTGCATTAATGAGAAACTGAACTGGTGTTCCTAATAATCCTTTAGGTTAGTGTATATATACAGAATCTGAATAAAGTTATCAGACACTTCACAGTCTTCACTGCGTCACTTATTAATTAAATATTGATAAATCCTTATTAAACCTACAAAAGTTATTTATCTTTTTCCTTTGTTCTTTGGTTATCCTTAAAGTCACCATGAAATCAAAAATGTTGGCTTTTAGTATGTGTATGTTAGCCTACTGTTATCTATACTCTATACTAGTGCTCAAAAACAATGACAAAATTTGCATTTAGAAGATATAAGTGTTCAAAACTTACAGTCTCTCACTTCCGCCAGTTTGGATCAATGGTTTGATTGACATCACTCTGCACTTCAGCTTTTCATCAGATTTTCGGGTTTATTGGGCTACTGTCACTTTAAGACCTGCCGCACATAATGCGGATCTGACGCGCATCCCATTTTCTCACAACTCTCTACATTCATTTAAGACTGTGCTTGCGAGGATACTCAACAAAACTGACATTTTGGCATAATTTTGTGTTTTGTCCGTTCAAGCGCTGTCTGAAGTTGCTTTATGTGCTCACGAGTTGTGTGTGTGCCAGACACACACACAGGAGATTCCCACACAATGCGAGCCAGTACCGCACTGTGTTCTCTTTTGTGTCTTATTGCGCATGATAATATTATCTATCTATCTATCTATCTATCTATCTATCTATCTATCTATCTATCTATCTATCTATCTATCTATCTATCTATCTATCTATCTATCTATCTATCTATCTATCTATCTATCTATCTATCTATCTATCTAGGTTTTCTAGTTAAAAATTAGTTATATGAATTTCAGTTGATTCTAATTGTACTTTCATGCTGATTCGAGAATCAAATTGTAATTTAAAAGGTATTCTCAATTAAACTCAATTTAAATCACATAATATATGGGGCTTTTTAACTTATTTCAGATTTACACTTTTGCATTTGGATGCAGTTTAAAAACTATTGCATCAGTTTTTTTATGTATTTGTGATGAGAAGGATGCCAAGCTCAGGTAATGTTGGATGCAGTAAATCAGTGGTTTTATGTCATGTGTTCTGGGGTGGCGGTAAGCCAGGGGAGAAAATATGCTTCAGGACAAAACAGATCTCATCTGCTCCTTGCTATGTGTCCTTTAATCTCCACAAATTAAACCTACGCAGAGCAAGAGAGGAAGAGAAAGAGAGAGAGAGAGATCAGCTAGCCAACAGTCAAAAAAAAAATCTCAAGCCGGCCAGATATTATATCATCAGTAATAGTCAATGATGTGAGGTAAAATCAGACACATATTATATGAGTTCTGGAATCATTTTTCTACATCATGGATCACTCCATCTAAGATAAAATGTGATGGGATGAAAAAGGCTACAGAAAAATGTATTATAACCTCACCATTTGTCTCTATATTGCATATTTTCTCCAGTTATCATGAGTCCCCAAACAATTTCTGCAGCTGTGCCGCTGCCATCTCCTTTCCTCTCCTCTCCTCTCGTTCTCATCCTAGGGGGTGTTTCAAACGCTGCATTCTGAATAAATGACAGGAAAACAGATAAACAGAAATATATAAATAACATTGAGTCTCCTTTCTCTCCCACGCGTTGAGTTCTTGCTGCTTTCTTCTTGAAAGTTTACTTTGCTCACTTTTGGAAGGCATGTCTCCCTCGCTCTCCGAGAGTCAAGGAGAGAAAAGAGAGAGACATAAAGCAGGTTTTTGCCCTTTTTTCCTCCAACTATTTTCCCTGACTTCCCCACTTTGCTGCTTCTCTTTTAATGTTTGTTGCGCATAAGGGCTGTGTGTGATGATGTTTTATGCGTAGCACCGGAGTTTGTTGTTATGTTGCGTTGGATTTGTGTGTGTGTGTGTGTGTTGAGCGTGTGTGCGTAAATGTCACTTGCTGTGTTTGCTCAGAGAGAAAAAATCCTCTGCAGTCTTTCATTCATGATCCCCTGGTCAGTGGCTGGTCTTTCTGAATGATCCAGCAGGAGGAGAGAGTGGGAGCCGTCTGTCTGTCTGCCTGAAAAGGGATCTGTCTATGGGACTTTATGTAGGCGGCAGGCTTGAGCGCCATTCACAACTGAATTTAGAATGCCTTTATAATTTCAAAGCTTTTTAAATTCCTGAATTTGAATTTGATTTGGATTTGAACTGAAATAACAAAAAATATATTATTTTAATGTAAAATGTTAAATTAATATTAAAATGGAATGAAATTCAAAGACATTCATGTAACTGCTGCAAGTGTAGTTTGGAAGATTTTTAGGTTTCAGTATGAATGAATAATAATCCATGTTTGACAAGCCACCTATAGAAATGCATATTAAATGTAGGTTATATTTACATTTAATAGTTATGTTTCATTATATTTAAGAAATGAGGCCCTATCAGTTCAAATTCCAGCTCATGAATGTAAAAGGAGCCGATGGATGGATAAATGGATGGATGGATGGATACTTGTATAGTTGACACCTTTTAAATATTAGCTTTCTATTTGTTTACTATGTTGCATTTTGTCCTGCTTCATTTCTGATTCTGGCCTAAAGTGTTTGTGAATGTTTGCGTTTTCCTGAATTAATTCGATGGGCCCTATCTTGCACCCAGCGCAATTGACTTTGTACACCGACGCACAGCGGACTTTTCTCTCCACAGACGCATGTCGGTAAATTAGGGAATGAACTTGCGCTCCCGGGGGCGGTTCAGCAAAAAGAGGAGGCGTGTTCCGGCGCAAACGTTCCCTGGTGCTATTTTGCAGTTCCAGAAAACAATTCCGCCACTGACCAGGAAAAACCTAGTCTAAAGTCAGTGGCGCGTTATTCAGATGTTATTTTAAGGGCGCATGCTTGGCCATAATGTAGCGTGTGCACAACGCGCATACACTTGCTTCTCTCATCTACACAGACGCAGCAGTTCCCATTTTTGCAAATCATACATTATTACAAGGAAAAATATTAACACACGAGGGAAATCATTGTGATGTCCATGAAGATGTGAAAAAATAGGCATAAATCTAGCTTATACATTTACCCAAATTATTAAAAGCCCGTTTAACCGAAGCTAATTTCGGTGGGTTTCTCCCATCCCCATACAATGTCACTTCTCTGTCTTTTACAGTCCTGGCGCGAACGTCTCTCTCCTCGGCTTTGAACCGCTCCTGGCGTGCGCTTGGCAAATCCGCCATAATAATAGCAATACGCCATGGAACAAGCGCGCCTGCTCTTAAAGGGAATGTGAGAAGACGCTCTGATTGGTTTATTGCACGTTACGCCCATACCACACCTATGAGTAATGTAGCTACGTACTTCAGACCAACCCATTTTAGATTTGCGTCGGGCGCAAGAGTCGTTTTTGACCGAGATCCGCCCTCAAAGTTACTTGCGTTTCGCGTTTGATACTTGCGTTTCAGATCGTTAAAATAGGGTCCGATACGTTAATCTCTGTGTGGGAGTTGATGTATTTGTTAATGGGATTTTTG